CTGGTCAGAGCTAGAACTCTTCTTATTGTAAATTGTAAGTAAAAAAGTAAGAACAAAAAATAATCCGAAACATGTATTTTTGACACTATCTTTATGTTAAAAACGTTGGTGATTCAGACGTTTCATTCAAAACGATGACCTTCCTCAATGAATGAAATAAGGTTTGCACGCGGCGCAAAGCGGCTCTCGAGATTTACAAGATTCTATGATTCTAGTTAAGAAAACCATGTAAAATCGCTGAAAATATATCAAACGCATTCAATGATTACAAAATTTATTCGTCATTATTATTATAAAATTAAGACCTTATTATTTGCTATTTTTAAATTGTTTAAACGTACTTTTTTAATTATAAATAATGCTTGTTGCCCGATTTTTCACAAATTCTTTTAAATTGGCCAAAACAAGTCATAAGTCAGCATACGCGCATCTCTGCACTGACAAAAATATTTCAGCAGATGATCCCAGTTTGCGCTTCAGAATGATTCCCAAAAGATAGATCAATTTGTTTTCTTTCTTCGGTACCGATCATTTCTTATGACGAAGTTGAATATATGGTTTCTCTGTACTAAAAATTCATAACTCAAAACATAATTTATTTTCCGACCTTTCTCATCATTTGACAGGTGTCTCAGCTTAGTTTCCTGATGTTGTATCGACTGATCCAAAATTTCAGACAAATTTATTTACGTAGACGATCCTTATATTTTTTGGAAATTAATATTTCAATTTGTTCAGACAAGCCAACGATTTCAAAACCATCGTCGCCTGCTAACATAAGTTCCTGGTCTGGTAACACCATAACCCTGAGGTGCAATCTTTCCAGCTCACTACCCAGTCCAACCTGGACATGGTACAAGCCCAATGGTAACCGTATTACCAATGTCCGTAATATTACTAATGGTAGTGAGGTGACAGTCCTGACAGAAGAGAGTGGTGATTATGGGATGTACACTTGTAGAGCAGCAAACATTGTTGGTAGCGACTCAATCATTATCAATGTGCTACAACTTTGTAAGTTATTTGTTTTTTTTTTTTTTTTAAGTTATGAATAATGTATATACAGTCGGGTCTATACAATCCAATCAATAGAATACAAAGAACAAAAACAATAATTTATTGTCTATAAACCGGTATATAATTATACATCGTCATTACAGCGGAGATCGTTGCATTGCGGCTTCAGCTTTGTCTTGAAGTTTGTCTGGATTTTGCTCATTCCCTGGATCTAAGGGGCGGAGCTTTCCGAAAACTCGTTCAATCATTGGTTGATTTGTATCAGGCTCCGCCCGCAAGCCGCAGAAACACCTAAATCCCAACGATTTCCTTTGAACATAAGTCGAGATGCAATGGTTTCTACTGTAAATGGGTATTTTTTGCTTTTTTAAAGTTCCACCGGGGTCTCCAAGCTTTAATGTTACAGATATCGAAGCTTCTTCTGCTGTTGTACGGTGGGCAGAACTAGTTGACAATGGTGGTAGCAAAGTGACTGGATACAAAGTGGAAATCGACTCTAAGACTTATTACAACCCTTCATGGAAACCTAATATTTTCGTCATTCCTGGTCTCACCAAAAACAGAGTGTACGTTGTCAAATTGTTCGCCAGAAATGTTGCAGGTTATGGGAATGCCTCGAGTAAGACTTTTACCACTAAAAAAGCAGGTACAACATAAGATATTCTACTTTTTCCTGGATTAGCCAGACATGCTTTTGTTACAATTAATGTAGTTAGCACGAATCCACGATTTCTACTGGATTTAGAAATTTTATTGTGACGATACTAGCACACTGAGATCATCGTTTTTGGGGGTCGTTAGCGGGGAAAGTTTGCACTGCAATATGTTTATTCATCTCATTGTACGAATACAAATACGATCACATTGTCTTGTAATTTTTAATTTTTTGTTTATCCTTTCTTTAGGACCACTTTTCGGGACTCGGGGAAATATTGATTATGTGTAATATATCGTTTGACCTGATCGATTAACCTTATTTATCATAGATATGCAGAAGCCAGTGATTTTTTTTTCATTAATATTTTTTTATTGTTGTTCGTCTTAATTTAGGACCACCAGCTTCACCTGTTTTGAAAATAATTGGAGTAAGTCCTACAACAGTGACATTAAGTTGGTCAAAACCAGAAGAAAATGGAGGTGAAATAGAATACTACACAATCTACAAGAAACCTGTTGGTGATGAGAAATGGTCGCAGGTTGGTACACTTTCAGGTGAACCGCTCACATACACGGTAAAAGACCTTCTTCCAGGCAAGACGTACAGTTTTGATGTCACTGCGAAAAATAAAGATGGAAGCAGCTTAATGGGTGTTAATGCGATAACCGTGACATTACCTGTTGAAACCACTACTCCTCACCCCTCAACAAGTGCTATTGGTAAGTCAATAGAAATGAAATCTCCATTTCTTGCTCATTAAATGTCCATAGAAGGGTCCATTGATTATTTATGCCAAGGGCTGTCTAGTGTCAAACGGCGTCTTTTAGTAAAATAAAACCTCTCGAMTCACTCATTTTAAGAGCAAAAATAATTGTCCCCTATGAATATCTAGCCTTTTGTTGACATATTTCTAATGCCCTTTCATGAACTCTTGCCAGCATCTCACATGAATAATGAATGATCCTTAATCTATAAATTTTGATAAACTTATTCGTTTGATGTTTGCAACCGATTATAGTTATGATTTACAAGTTATAAATGACGTATAAGTATGTCTACTCAAAATCTTATGCTCTGGTCATTTTGTTACAGCATCAACATCAAGAAGTAGTTCAAGGCTCCACCCGTGTGAAGAATGCAATTGTAAGATTACTCTTTAAAGAAAGCACCAGACTGTCACGAAAACTCTTGGACTAACMAAATAATACAAAAGTTTATCGGATGGCTTGTTTTCCACCGTTTAGACTGTAGCGCCCYTCATTGTGATACTTTAGTCAAAATATTGCAAAACATTTAAAAATCACTTGATAGTTAACTATCAAACTACAGAATGAGAAATCGGCATAGCTCAACTGTGATAGTCGATTTTGCTTTATTTGCTTATTATATTTTTTTCTTCGACTCAGAATTGATAAGTTGTCCAATATGTTTCGTACGTTTGTCTGGATAATGGTATCAAATCAAAAAAGATGTCCATCGTAATCGCATAATTAGTTACCTTCACCATTTTTCGGAGGAGGAAGGAGGTGCTTATAAGATGAATATAACCTCAACAGCTAACTTCTGTATTTCTCTTTATTTGTTGCTAACTATATTCACCAGAGCCACTATATTTTTGTACATTTGATGATTCCTAGGCTCTACAAAAGTTGCTGTTTTGGCAGCATTCCTTGCACTCTCAGTACTTATCATCATGCTGCTTGTAGTTTTCATCGCAAGGAAACTTAGGACTAATAAACGGAAAAATGACAAGTAAGTACCAAAAATGCTACGAAACGAAAAGAAAGATATTTTTCAGCTTCACATATAATTTTCCTCTGTCAAATCGATGTAAGTTTCAGTAAATTAATATCTGCAATAAAGTAAACTAAAGCAAAAAGCAATAGAATATATTGGCGACTGACTTGAAATTTATTCAATCTCTCCTTAAAGGAGAACTCCACTTCACTACCATGGTGACGCAATTGCGCAAATCATGTTAGCAAAACACAGAACTTGTCACTTAGGGACTGTGCAACAATAATTACCAGGAAGGGGGGGGGGGCGTAAAACCAGATTTCTTAAGCAGAAAATTAGTTAGAACCCCCCCTCCGAAGCACAAGAAAATGGCTCTTACCCCCCTGCTATATTAGAAATAACGTCGGAACCCCCCCCCCTTCCAACTATTAGCCTTAGTTATAAAACAAGCACAATCGAGTCGAGTCAATTCACTAAAGACGAACCCAGATGCAAGAGGTGGCTTACTCATCTGGATCTAAGTGTAAAGACACTGACAAGCAAATGTGGTGCCCTTGCTTGTTTCAAATAATTTTATTCCTGGCAAAGGTTTTCAAGGTCCAAAAAAAGCTTATGTAACGTTTTTATGGTCAAAAACGACTACTTATATTACCGTGCTTGTTGTTATGTCTAATAAATCATCAATATGTTTTTCAGCTTCTACCAAGAGAAAATGAGGTAAGAGAAGGAATCCCTGTTACCCATCATATCAGCCCTTCGTTCTATTTTTAGAAAAAGAGCTATTTTTAGTTTGTTACCAAGCCCGCGCGACCACTACTCGTTTATCAGCTATTTTTCATCGCCAAAAACTAAATGTCAACTACTGTTCGAGAAAAGCTACGAAATTCGATTTAAAAAAGAAAACTTCTTGAAGAAGAAAAGGAATCTTCTTCAAAACAAAGAAAACTTGAAAGTGTCGAAGAAGAATCAGCTTCTGAAGGTAATGTGACATGAAATTAGATCGTCAATCTGACCTTTGAATTCTCTGACCTCTCGAGCAGTAATATTTAACCTGGAATAGATAATTTATAAAACGCATAATTTACATTTGTAGATTCAACACGAAAGGATGTTGTCCTTGATCGATTGAGGGAAAAAGTAAACAGCAAGAATTCATCCCAAGATACTCGTCAAATACTGCACTCTCTTAAAGCTAACGTTGATAGCCTGAACTTAAGTGTCCATGCGGTAGAAAAACAAAGTAAAAATTCATCTCTCCTATCAATAACTGCATCCGAATTTGCAGATTACAACAAGAGTGTTGGGCTTCACTCGAAGACACATCACTCGACGAAAGCACATCACTTTCACATGATTCATTGGTGTCTTCAACTTCAGACGTATCAGTATCTTCGTGACCCTGCCCGACACTTCAAAAAACGTTGTCGTCGCCAGGACTCAGTCAACAGTCTTGAGCCTGCAAAGAATCTCGGGATTGCCATATATAATTGTGTGTTCAATTTCAGTTATTCAAAATACTCYGAYWTAGAGTTCAACATATTCTTTTGTTTCATTGATAGCCCRAGAWAACGCATGGAATTTGAAAAGAAAGACAATAGAATTGATTTGAAATCTCACACTTTTATTCTCACAATTAGGAATATTTTGCGAACAAATTACGCTAACACAGAGCATCGAAGAATTCGAAACTGGATTATTCTCGGCGAATATAGCTTTGAATGACTCATTGACGTTTTAAAAACGTGGAATATTCATTTCAATGAGGAAAATGTCTCCTGGCGAGACTTGTTCGATGGGCCGCAATAGTATATTTAGTAGTGTTTGCCGCCATTGCATTCAAACCACAATATATTTTGAATATATTAATTACGCATGTGGAAACCCCGAGATTCTTTGCAGGCTCAAGACTGTGGACTGTGTCGTGGTAATAGGTGTATAAACCAAAACCACTGCTTTCTCCTTCTTCCTCTGCATTTACCGCTTAATATCAAAGCGTTTTCGTTCACAAAAGTAATCTCTCTCTCGACCTCCATTTTGAATTATTTTATCGCGTCTTACCACAAACGGCTGAGCGACCTCGCCTCATACGATCTGACCATGTTCCATTTCTAAAAATAAGCTCTTTTTCTAAAAATAGCTCTTTTTCTAAAAATAGAACGAAGGGCTGCTATGATGGGTTAAGAACGCAGTACCAGGGATTCCTTCTCTTACCTCATTTTCTCATGCAGTGTGGCATTTTTCTTGTCATAGACAAAAGTTATTTTAAAGTGCTAAACTGGATCTAAACTACAAAACTAGACGCATAGCTAAGTGAAATCGGGGTTCTGCTTGAANATCACGTGATTATGAGCTTGGGCTACCTGTGGACAATTTGTGACTGATAAGCGACAATGAAAAATAAGAAGCCCGAAATTTAAACTCGCGGTTCCACAGGAACCCCGAGTAAATAGCAAACAAACACTTTGTTTTGAACTTAATTTCGCGCCCTTTGCCGTGCATTTACGTCACCATGGTAGTTGCCACTGATATACAAGCCTGTCAAGTTGGTGGCATTCATGTTGATACTTTTCTCTAGTTTCAACGCATTTTTCTCTCTTGTCTTTGAATATGCGCCAAAATCCCTTAGTCATCTTTTACAAGGAACTTCAATTAATCAAATAATTAGGGTTAAGGTATAGTGGAGTTCTCCTTTAATTTCTTTGTCATTTTTCCTCTTTTCAGTAAAGAAGAAGCAATTTACTATGTGAGTATATGACACTTGTTTTCTTACATATGTTTTTTTAAAGAAAATGACACTGTAAAATTATTGCATCTGTAGTAAAACTCTATAATCAAAGTATATATGCTTATCAAAGTAAGCTAAGAAAAGTAGATAAGCCAGCCTCTGAATACGAGCTGATCAGTGTCGTACAGTGATTTTTGTGCGTGAGCACAATCAACAAACCATGTCTATAACCAGCCAATAACAAGCGTATACTATTTAAAACGCTTTCTTTTTTCACTTTAAAAAGGCCTGAGACTCACATATATCGATACGCGGTGATAATCGTCGTACAGGTTTTAGGGGTAATTGTCAGGTATCTGGTGATTGACGTCTCTAAAAGAATGATTATTTTGCATGAAACGTTCACATGGTACTAAATCAGCCATACTGATTTGCACAAGTATGTAAATAACCTCAAAAACCAAAGGAACGCAATCTTGACTTTTCTTTGTTTACGTGAAAAATAATAATGATTCATTCTTCATTATGATTCTTTATCAAATGTTGTTTACAGAATGCTCATGCCCTGGGAATGACATCTTTGCCTCAAACAGTGAATCAGTCAAGTGCTRGGACCAGGGATCCAAATCAAGAGCATTATCAGCAACTTAACCCTCGCACCCTGCAAAGCCCTGCTGATGCCGTACCAACATACGAACCAGTACGAAGCGTTGGCGCTGGCGAACGTAATGATCAGCACACTTACCAAGCCTTACGTAATCGCCCAAGTGTTTACCAGAGCCTGCAAACATACGCTAATGTAACCACTGCTTGATGCAATTAATAATGCACTAATGCACAATAATGTTACATTTATGATTGTAAATATAATCTCCAATAGTCTAACTAAAAGTGGTCGGAACTTATTTTGATTACTTGTCGTGTGGCATTTACGTTATTGTCATAAATGTATAAAACAGAAAAGTTGGCGTTTTTAGTTCGTTGCCTCTTAGAGATAACGTCATTGAATGCAACATTTAACGTGCAGTACCTTTAAGGTTCATTATATCAGAGGAGCCGACTGGGTCTTTCATCTAAATAACTGTTCTTGTAACGAATGGTTTCCTGGGAAAGGGATTTTTGAGCTACTTTGTTGACAATCTCACAAGCAAATGTGGCGCCCTTCCTTCTTTATAATATTTTTTCCTGGAAAACGTTTTATTTAAAAACGTTAAAAGGTCAAAAAAGGCTTATATAATGTTTTTATGGTCAAAAGCGCCTTATATATTTTTTAGTTTGGAAATTTTTACTTTCTTGGCAAAAATTCTCAGAAAGTATTTCTTGCCTGGAGAGTTCTTTTTTCCTAAACTTCTCCCTGGTAACCAGTTGTGACTTATAGCTGGCTGGGACATAAGAACAGACATATTTCTCCCAGGAACTTGTCGGTTCCTCCTTTTATATCCGATGCATCGACGAGCAAATCAACGCCCCCATCCTCACATCTCGATACCCCATATAGTTGGTAAGGTGTTTTCTAGAAAAGTTGCTAATTCTGAGAAGATCTTTTGACATTGATGTCTAATCTCAGTTTTAAATACTCAAGAGGAAATTTCACTAAAATTGTAAAAATGATAAACAGTTCAAATGAAAAAAAACTTTCAATATATTTCTAGCCTGAGTTCCATTCCATTTAAAGAGTTTCGAATTGGTGAATATTGATAAAGCGTGACTTTAAGAAAAGGTAACGTAACAATGCGGAAGTCAATGCATTTGTTCACTAAAACATTACGTTATGTGTTTGGACTACAACCATATGACCAAAAGAACCGTCGCAAATTTGGGTAATTATTCAACGGTTTCATTCACAGTCATGGCTTGTATTTATTTCGATATAATAACAATAAAAATAGTTGATATCAGAAATGCTAGACAACTTGAGTGCCTGACCTCAGCTGTAGGCTTGACAGTCGGCTTTCGCTCTGAGTTATGCAGCGAACAAACACTAGCCATTCATGATTCAAGATGGGACGTGGATTGTGTGTTCCTCTTTTCGGCTTCACTTTACTCCAGCTAGCAGGTTAGAGATTTGTAATTCAAGATATCAATCAACTATCTTTTATGACTTACAGAAAAAAGGCGTCAAAGTATGGGAATTAGTGTATATCGAAGAGAGTAAGGGTAGTAGACAATAACGACTGCCTTATGAAAGTAAGAATCCTGAGTGTAAACATGAATGCTTATGAACGAATGTGTTCAAAGTAATCTGCTTTTTGGAGAAAACCAGCAGTTTCAGCTAAAACCTCCAGTCTAAGGATACAAAATAATGATCTTTACTTTACAATACAGCTCTTTATATATGAAATCATTTGAGGCCATATAAGAAACCACATAATATAAATCACTATGTAGAATCAACCTTGGCTATGCATGTCTACCTATAGAAGAAATCTTGCCAATTAACTTGCAGATTTCACCGATTTATATTATTTTTATAGCTTACAACAGTCGATACTTCCGGGTCGTTTGCTGTGAACATGGCTTCAGGATGAGCTTAAAACTGTATTAATTATGACGCTTTCTATTATCAGACGCAGCAGCTCGGTTCACCAGTCATCCTGTAGAAAAACTGTACGTAGTGAAAGGTCAAACTGCCAACTTTACATGGGACTACCATGTTGATAATATCAACTCAGAGTTTGATGCTCAATCACCAAGATGGTATTACCATAATGGCAGTTATTTGATTGGGTATGGTGACGGATTTGATGGATGGAAATTTAAGATCAACACAAAAACTTGTCCAGTTCGATTAAGAGTACCCACAGTGCGAGTGAGTGTGGAGGGTAGAGCTACTTTAGTCATCACTAATGTATCCTTGGCTGATTCTGGTACATATGGATGCAGACTGCATTTAACCAGTGGTTCTTCTAGTTCGATGCCAACAAGCGAAGCTCGACTAATTGTTACAGGTATATGGCATTTACACCATAGAATACAATAGATAACTCAGGAGTATAATTCATTTGTCATAAACTAATATATACACATTAAATAATTATTAAATGGCTTTTTGCTTTTTAAAGATTCTCCAGGGCCTCCAAGCTTTAATGTTACAGATATCGAAGCTTCTTCTGCTGTTATACGGTGGGCAGAACCAGTTAACGATGGCGGTAGTAAAGTGACTGGATATAAAGTGGAAATTGACTCTAAGACTTATTATACACATTCCTGGAAACCTAACTATTTTGCCATTCCTGGTCTCACCAAAAACAAGGTGTATGTTGTCAAATTGTACGCCAGAAATGTTGCAGGTTATGGCAATGCCTCGAGTAAGACTTTTACCACTAAAAAGGAAGGTACAACATAAGATATTATACTTTTTCGTGGATGAAACAGACATGCTTTTTTACAATTAATATAGTTAGCTCTAATCCAAGATTTTGTACAATATGAATGTAAAAATTGCGTTGCTAGCTTGATTTGCTACTCTGCTATAGGTACAAATACGAAATCCAATATATTCTTTTCCAAACTTTTTTTGTAATTGTTCATTGTTGCTTGTTTTTTCTTTAGGGCCACCAGATTCACCTGTTTTTAAAAAAATTAAAGAAAGTCCGACAACAGCTACACTGAGTTGGTCAAAACCAGAAGAGAATGGAGGTGAAATACAATATTACACAATCTACAAGAAACTTGCTGGTGAAGCTGAATGGTCGCAGGTTGGTACAATTTCAGGTGAACCACTCATATACCGGGTTAAATACCTTCTTCCAGGCAAGACGTACAGTTTTCATGTCACTGCGAAAAATAAAGATGGGAGCAGTTTGGTGGGTGTTAATGTGATGACAGTGACATTACCTGATGAAACCACTAAAATCAAATAAAACAAATAAAATCTCGATTTCTTGTTCATAAATGTCCATATTAGGGCCATTCATTATTCAGCTGAAAGCTGCCGGGCAATGACAGTGAAAATGACAAATAGATTGAGCTGCACATACACAAAGATGCTAAGGGTGGAAAGACCACGTAAGCAACGAAATTCTCTATGGAAATCTGCCGAAAATCACTGAAATATTGAAAATCAGAAGGTTACGCTTTATCGGAAACAGTTGGAGGAGAAATGACGAGTTAATCAGCGAATTGCTTTTATGGCAGCCGAAACATGGAGAAAGAAAACGAGGGAGACCTTTGTTGACATACATCGAACAGTTGACAAGAGACACTGGATTGGATGTTGAAGAGCTGAAGTTATGTATGGCGGATAGAGTTAGATGGAGCAACCTAGTCAATGCAGCTCGAATTCGCTATTAATTATACCAAAGGCTGTGCTGTCAAAATGTGTAGAAAGCAATAAAAAATTAATGACGTTTTCAGAGTCAGCTGTATAATTTTCCTAGACCAGTGGACTGCTGAAAAGCTTTTTTTACATTTTTTTTTCTCCCTTTTCTCGTTCTCTCTTTCAATTCATTTTATTAACATTTGTTTATTGTTAATTGTCGGCATACTGTTTAGGACCACCAAGCTCCCCAATTTTAGAAATAGCTGAATCCAGTCCTACAACAGTGACATTAAGTTGGTCAAAACCTGAAGAGAATGGAGGTGAAATACAATACTACATAATCTACAAGAAACTTGCTGGGACTGACGAATGGTCGCAGATTGCTACACTTTATTCAGGTGTACCACTCACATTCACGGTGAAAGACCTTCTTGCAGGCAAGACATACAGTTTTGATGTCACTGTGAAAAATAAATATGGAAGCAGCTTGATGGGTGTTAATGTGAAAACCGTGACACTGCCAGTTGAAACCACTACACCTTACACCACAACAAGCGCTATTAGTAAGTCAAAAGGAATAGATCTCATTTTTCCTGATCATTTTAAGTCTAATGATAGCGAGCATTCACACAGTGTACTTATATAGTTTCTTTATTAGTGAAATAAAACCTCTCCTTTCAATAGTAATTTAAAAGGACATTGAATATCTAGACAATTGTGTCATATTTTTGGTGACGCTGCTCCTTGAGTGTCTTGAATTCATCATGACCTCTTGCAATCCCATCCCCGTCATAAATGAATGTAGTACTTATGTGTTTTTTCGTTTGTTATTGTAAAATGATAGCAATGGCCACTTGTAGCTCCAACACCATTGTTACTTATCGCTTGTTGTCTTTAGACGTCCAATTGTTCTAAATCGTTCGTGCATAATCTATTGCTTTCATTCGTTTATAAAACTTCTACTTATGTAAATTTCGTTATTGGCGCGTTTATCGTCGTCGTCGGGTCGACCCCTCAGGCCACCACTATGGTAAGAGCTTTGTAATCGTTTTGCAATCGCTTTCTTTTTCTATCGTATCTTGTGATTTATCATATACTCCAATGTAATTTTCTTTCTACGGTTGTTAGATTTACGTCATCATCATGTATGCCAGTCAATATAAGTCTGACGATTAGCCGTAACACCCCAATTTGACATAAACGTAATATGTATATTCACAAGCGGTTTCACTTCCGTTTTTTATAGCATCAAGTAGTGGCTCAAGGCTTGGCCCATGCAAAGACTGCGATTGTAAGATATATATATGTACGATATTATCAAAATATGAATTTTGTGTCGATTGAATCAGCATTAGAAAAGACATTGGAATAATTTATTAGCTTTGTCCCTAGTATGGGCAGGGACACCGCAACAGCGTAAGCCAAGTACTGCGGCCCCTGTACTCTCACACTCACTACCTCTACATTAAGTATTTTAGCACACAACACTCCTCACATGTTGATTTTTCTGAGGGAGGAAAACCGGAGGACCCGGAGAAAAACCCTCGTGGCAAGGGAGAGAACAACACATCAAACAAACTCAAACTCACATATGGTCCGTGTCCGGGAATCGAACTCGGACCACAGCGGTGAGAGGCCACAGTAGCTTAACCACTAGGCCAACCATGCCACCCTCAGCATTTTCATTGCGACATAATTCAGAAACTGCAAACCCTTCAACATCCTGATGGTAAACTACTACTGAATGGCGATATTACTGCATTTGTCTCAGTCGATTTTCTTCGACTAATAGTTGATAAGTAGTTCATTCAAGTTTTGTCTGTTAGATGTACTTTGTGCCTTTTTTGACCCCTATAGGCTATATCAAAGTTGGCGTATTTGCTGCGTTCTTAGCACTTGTAGTGCTGCTCAACATCCTGCTTGTAGTTTTCATCTTATCGAAACTTAGGACTAACAAACCAAACAATGACAAGTAAGTACCAAACGCACTGCAAGACGTTTAAGAAAATACTATATGACTTCACATGTCATTTTTCCTCTGAATGAAATCTATGCAAGTTGAAGTAAATTTGATATTAGCAATTAATTAAACTCAAGCAATATTACATGTTGGCAACTGACCTGCTTTTTTCAAGCAGTTTTTAATTTCTCTCTCATTCTCCTCTTTTTAGGAAAGAAGATGCAGCTTACTATGTAAGTAATCATTATTTTACAGAATGAGACTTTTAACAATGACTTTCAATTTAAATAGCTTGGATTCTACAATCGTTGTCCCGTTAGTTATTGAAGAATATATTGAAATTTCATCTAAGGACAATCTAAAAGACGGAAGATACTCTATCCATTTAGGTCTTGTCTTTTTCAGACATAGCACTCGAGGTAATGTTTAGCATCTCTTCGCTCTGATTGGCTACTAATTCATTTTCAAAGAATCAGCTAGAATCTAAGAAAAATAGATAAGGCAACCTTTGAACACGAGTGCAGTGCATGACGTTTTTACCAAGCAGCAAACCATATCTCTGAGCCCTGGTATAAAGTGCTGCTTGCATGAAAATGACCATTCAAAACTTAAAGAAAATACAAATATATGACTCATATATATCATTAAAATCAATTGCGGGAAAATCGTTGTTTTGGAATTGTCCTACATCAAAAGATGGAAGAACAAAAGGATGGAATAAATGATGTCATCTACTCCAACATTTTTTGCCCAAATTATTAAGTATTTGTATCAATATCTTCTTAAAATCTGTTGCTTCACGGTTATTAGACCCATATGGATAGTTCTTTTGATTTCCAAGTCTTCTAATGTTTCGCAATTTTCGTCCAAGTAGCCCTAAACGGGTTAGAAAGTAAAATTTCGATCCAATTTTCACACAATCGTTGCCATAAGCATGAATTTAAGCCATAATTCATGCCATGGCTATGTATAACTCCTTCAAGAGGACGATTTCATGCTAATATACATTGATTAACCACTGATTGTGGCTCATACAAGTCACCGTTAAGCGGTAATTTGCGCATTTGTGACATGCACAGTAAGTGTAATATAAAATTCTCGCTAACTGGGCAGGCCGTGATATTTTTCATGCTACTCAGATGCTATTGAGTTTTATCGTTTGCGCGATGCAACGCTACCGTTTATTTACGGTCATATAGCATGTAGATGAATTCTCAATGCCCGAAACGCAGTAATTGCTCGGTCCGCCGAGAGGAATAATTTCCGCGGGAGCCTGGGATCTAACTAAGTAGGATCATGCCCGGCATGTGGAAAGTTTTAGTTCATGCCCTGCGCGCGAAAATCCTTAGTTCATGCCCTGCGCGCGAAAATCCTTAGTTCATGCCCGGCATGTGGAAAATGTTAGTTCATGCCCTGCGCACGAAAATCAAAAGATGGAAGAACAAAAGGGTGGAATAAATGATGTCATCTACTCCAACATTTTTTGCCCAAATTGTTAAGTATTTGTATCAATATCTTCTTAAAATCTGTTGCTTCACGGTTATTAGACCCATATGGATAGTTCTTTTGATTTCCAAGTCTTCTAATGTTTCGCAATTTTCGTCCAAGTAGCCCTTAGGGCTATAAACAAAGTAATTAACCAACGGAAGGCGCGTTTACTTATATCTTTAACGTCTTTTACATAGTATAAAAAAGAACAAACTAAACAAAAGTGTCAGGGTGGTTTGAGATTGACATGTATCGAAGAGAAGAATGGTCGTTAGGGATAAAAATCATGGATCTGGTGTTTGATGTTTCTAGATGAACTAAAAATGCTTTAAAACTATACATTCATACGTCTCTATCAAATTTTGCTTTGTAGAATGTTAATGCCTTTGGAATGGAATCTTTGCCTTCAACATTGAACAAAAGTGCTGGGACCAGGCATCCAAATCAAGAGCATTACCAGCAACTTAACCCTAACACCCTGCAAAGCCGTGTAGATGCAACACCAACATACGAAACAGTGCTTGGCATCGCAACTGGCGAACGTAATGATCAGCACACTTACCAAGCCTTACGTAATCACCCAAGTGTTTACCAGAGCCTGCAAACGTACGTCAATGTAAACACTGCGTGACGCAATTAATATCAATAGTCAAGGCCGGAGTCAAGGAAAATTGTAATTGAACATTTACTCTAAAGTAAATATTACCTCACATAGTCGAGTGTACTCTCATAATTTTAGCTGTTTTTTGGGGGGTATCGTATGTTTCATTCACCAAATAAGAGAGGTCGGAACTTACTTTGACTGCATGTTGTAACCAATAGAGCGGATTTCGTATGAGTGGGAAACGGACGGTACTGTACTGTGTCCGTAATCGTGCTGTAACCAAATTCTAGTGTCTCAATGGTTCGCAAAAACTGTGCTTTTCCATAATTGGATGAAAATTTACCGCACAGTAGATGTGACGGTAGTCCTGCATTCTGATTGGACGAACGTGCGGTAGCGGCAGCGGTGACTGTAACTGCGGTAAGTTTGAATTTTCATTGGTTCTCATCAATAGAAAGTCGAAAGTAATAGAAATTCTTTGAGTTTTATTTTATTAAAGATTAGATCATCTATCTACATGTAGTTGATTTTAAGTTTTGTACGCTTTTAACATGGCTTGGCGAGTTAAATCAAAATTAGAATTGTATTAAAAACCTATATTCTCGTCCGAAAACACACTGATTAATTTGCCATTAGTGGGTAATTAAGTTGGATATCTGTACTTTTGTGGAATAAAATGAATCTAGACTATTGAACATAATGATATTCAACATTCGAAATACTATTCAAAATAGCTTCAATGCCATGAATGATATCACCGTATAGTGGTAGTGTAAGCTTTATAAAAAGCTAGTATATATAGCATTTTTAAGACTTTAAAATTCATGCCCTGTAGCATCCGAAAAATTAAAATAGATTTAATCTTAGTTTCAGTGTAATTTTAGAATTCCAGAACATGTAAACAAAAATGTTTGAAGATAATACATTCCTTTACATTTTACAATGTATGCGACAGGAAAAATGTAATAAAGATGTAATTGACTATTTTTTCGAGAGAGCCTTATTCCTAACCATTATTATCTTATTCTATTTCCCTACAATTGYGATGTTTGTCACGGACTGTGGTCTGACCTCAGCAGCGGCTGGCCAATTTGTATTCTTAATTATGCATTCATTTATGTCGATCTTGGCAGGTAAGAAACGGTATTCGTTGGACAAGATGGACCGGGTATTGCGTGTTCTTCTTTACGGCTTCACCGTAATTCAGTTAGCAGGTTAGTCATTTTAAAGCTTCTCAATATCATTTAGGATTTATAATGATCATGATATATATAAAAAAAATATATGCTTAAAATACTGAATTAAGGCGGATGGAATAGTGTAGTAGACAGACCCGAATGCCTTGTAAATCAAAGTGAAATTCGGGCAAGTATATGACTGTTGCTTATGATCGAATGTTCAAGATTCYGAGCCTTTATCGAGATTTTTTGAGGGAATCAAGAAAGTCTTCATTGAAATTTCATTTTAAAACTCTAAAAATGCAAAGTTGTGGTGTCTGCCCTCAGGACAGATCGTGAACTATCCAGTGTTTACATTGCTCCAGTATATGAAATCTGCATATAAGGTGGCGCAAGAAACCACATTGTAGAATTATCAGTGATGTTTTTCATAGAATTAATCTTGAAAAATTGCAGTATTCGAATAACATTTCTAGTAAATTCGGGCATTATTTGTTATTTCGTATTAGTATACAGAGGGAGATGGGTGGGGTACTCTCTCGTATCAAGGGTGGTGCTGATCCTCGGAAATTCAAAACTAAAAAAGAAAACTAAAACATACCAGTCTATTATTCAAAAATTATACCACATCATCCGGTGGTGACCCGAAAACCTTTGATACAACCAAAAAGATACCAGATTCCTGCGTTTTACCCCTAAAAGATACGATGATCATCACCACCCTCTCATATATGTAAGTACCAAAGACTCGGGTTAGTATATAGCATTACACTCTGAATTTCCATGTCGATGTTGAGGCTATATCAGATTTGTTACCTTATATTTTCATTCAGTTTTCAAGATGCAACAGCTCGATTATATTAATAGGACATATCAAATATGTTGGCTTTTTATCATATTTTATTTCCAAGATGCAGCAGTTCGATTCACCAGAGTTCCTGCTGACAAACTGTATGTAGTGAAAGGTCAAACTGCTAGATTTACATGGGACTACCATGTTGATAATATCAACACAGAGTTTGATTCTCGATCACCAAGATGGTACTTCCATAACAACAGTTCGTTACTGATTGGATATGGTGACTTGTTTGATGGACGTAAGTTCAAGATTTATCCAAACACTTGTCCACCTCGATTACTAACACCTACAGTACGAGTGAGTGTGGAGGTTAAAGCTACTTTGGTCATCACTGATGTTACTATGGCTGATTCTGGTACATACGGATGCAGACTGGTTTTATCCAGTGGTTCTCTCAGTTCGATGCCAACAAACGAAGCTAAACTGATTGTTACAGGTAAGTGATGCAAACAATTTTCTTGAAATAGAAAAAATTTGATAAAATTTGTACGGTGCTTTTTATTCGTTTTGTTTTGATTTGCCTACCTGTTCAATTGTTTTTAAAGAGTGATATCAATTATGATAGGCAATAACCGTAACCATAGCAATATAGATGATTGATAACGCAAAGTATATAGTAAAGATAATATCAGTATCATTATGACACATACGAAACTAATATAAAATTTCTTTAATAAATTGTTAAAATCTTCATCAAATGATTTTGTGTGTAGACTGGAAGTGAATTCAAGGGGATAAAAAAAATTCTTAAATTCTTAATTTTGATTTGTTCCTAGAAACACCTTCGTTTACAAAAAAGCCAAATGCAACAACATCAACCATTGAGCACTCTGACTTGAATATCAGTTGTACAGCGGTTGGCCTCCCAACACCAGTTGTCACTTGGGTGCAAATAAAACAATCTTCTACCTTATTTATCATCAAAGGTATAGGAGGTGCAGTTTTACACTTTGCAGACATTAAAAGAAATCAGAGTGGGACGTACGAGTGCCATGCATCCAATAACCCAAATGAGAGTCTGGTCAGAGCTAGAACTATGGTTATCGTTAGTTGTAAGTAAAAAACGAGTCAACATCTGACAAAATGCAGAAATTATGATCCTTTTCGACAATATATATTCAATATTAATGTGGCACAACTTTGTAGGTACTTTTTTAAAGAAAATAATAAAATAAAAATATATGCAGTACAGGTGCAATCCATAGATTACAATAGAGAATACAAGACCATAAGACCATTCATTGGCTATAAACCGGTATATTGTCATTAAAGATACAAACAAAGGTATTTTTGCTTTTTAAAGTTCCACCAGGTTCCCCAAGCTTTAATGTTACAG